TACATGAGATGAAATTAATCAAGCCCCACAAGCTTATGTCTTGAAAATTATTTAATTTTTTTTTTTTTACTGTGTAGCCTGAGCATAGATCCAACTAAAATAACTTCCAAATTCAAAGGTGGCTAATCTCTGAGGAGAGATCAGGCATTTGAGAGCTGCTGAATGCATACATTCTAATATGTAAATAGAAATTTATTGTAAAGCAGACTCAAATTCTTTATGACACACATTAGCAGAACAGGCAAAATGAAATGAAGCAAAAGTTTGCCCTCACCAACAGAAGTGCCATGCTGACTAGATTAAGATTACAACATTTTAAAAAGGCATATTTTACCCTTATTGAAAAAGAGATATTCTTGCTAATAAAGCCAATAATATAAAACTCATTTTTGTCTGACTATGATGTAATCTCAACAGCGAATCCACTAAAAAGTTAGTGCTAATATATGCAGCACTGATGTATACTAGCTATTGAATGTCTGAAGAAGATACATCAGTGCTGTCAACAGACTGTTAGCATGTCACACTGGATGAACTTTCAGCAACTCATGAATCTGAACATGCTCAAGAAATCAGTATTTTATAGCAGAAATAAAATTGCATTTAAACCAACTTACTTTTTTAGGAAGGATTGTTTCATGGAATGGTAATAGGAAAACTTGTAGGTGCCTACATTGTTTTGGTGTCCTGTTAACTAAGCCTCACTTCCAAATCCATTGTTTTCTAATGTTGCAGTCAAGAGATAGCAGAGTAAGTTAGGAGGCTCCTCTTAATCATGTTTAACTTCAGAATTTCACAAATGAACAGAATTATGCTTATCTAACAGTTCAGAGAAGGAGTGATAGTAATCACCTTTCTTCCCCTGTAGAAACCTCAGCTGTGGAAACACACAATAACCATTACCTTTCTAAAATTTATACAAGATAGTGAAGTTGGTGATGGGAAATTTGTCTGTCATCAAAATGCAGCCAACAATGAGCATTATGATACATTCCGAAAAGGCATACTGTAGCCTTTCAACCAGAGCAGGACTGCATGTCAATAAAATTTGGGATACTTGTTATAGCAGAATGCAAGAATGTTAGTCAAGAGAAAACATTAAGCATGTTAAGCACATACTGCTTCAACATCTCTCAACAAACCTAGTAGCTATGTATCCTAATGAAAGACGTTTCCTTCCCTATGAGGCTGCTCAGTAACACTAATCATTTGTCCCACCACAGCCTGGTTTAAGATTAATTGACTGAAAAATGAAGCTTCATACACTACATTTAGCTTACTATATTACATTCATTATCACAAGTTGTCTACTTCTGCTTCCTACCTTATCTTCTACATTAAGATTGGTAAATAATCTGACTGAGCTCATGACAGGTCACATGAATGTTCAACTAATATATTTCTGCAAAATGTCCAACTGAACTTACATTCACTAATGAAAAAAGAAATTCTCTATGAAATATGGCAGGAAGCCAACAGAAGGTCATAGGAAAATAATTATTTGCACCCATGTTCACCATTAAGTGAACCATAACTGAATTTAGGACTGCTTCACATTTACATGCTAATTTACATGGAGTATACTGGTGAAAGCACTTGAAGTTCAGACACCACTGGAAGAAGACAGGGAATAAATCAACAAACAGTAATAATTCACCCATGCTGGATGCAATTAATTTAAAATATCCAAAGGAAATCAAGTATAAAGTTGAATCACTAATGTAGATTGTCGTTAACTTTTAAAATAATCTTACTTTTGACCTCAGAAATTTCTTGAAGTTCTTTAAAGAAGAAAAGAAAATTGATCCAAGTCAAATTTTCTACTTGGATTTGAAATGCATTTCATGAAAGCTCTATACCAGGAGCAACTAAAGAAATCCAGCTGCTGTATTTTCAAGGGAGAAAAAAATCTTACAGTTACAGAATTGCTTTAAATATAAGAAATAAGTAATAGCAATAAACGCTTAGTTTACTCAGTGGGAAAGAGTCACCTGTAGTGTCTCACATGTTCAAGAAACATAGGAAGACTTCCCACCACACCAGGTTGCTCAAGGCCTTATCCAACCTGGCTTTGAACACTGTCAGGTTTAGGGCATCCACAACCTCCCTGGGCAACCTGTTCCAGCGTTTCCACCCTCAAAGTAAAGAATTTCATCATAATATCTACCTTAAATTTCCCTTCTTTCAATTTGTACTCGTTACTCCCTGTCCTGTCACTACAGTTCCTGACAGAGTCCCTCTCTGGCTTCCCTCTAGATAATGGAAAGTTGCTGTGAGGTCTCCACACAACTTTCTCTTCTCCAGGCTGAACAGCCCCAACTTTCTCAATCTGTCCTTGTAGGGGAGATGCTACAATCCTCCTGTCAACGTCATGTTCCTTCTTGCTCCAACAGTTCCCTGTCTATGTTATGCTGGGGACATGAGAACTGTACACAGCACTCCAGATGGGGATCTCGCAAGAGCAGAGTAGATAGAGGGGGAGAATCTACTAAACTGTCACACAATATCCAGGTTTGGCAATACAGGTGTTGTATATGGAGGAAAGCATTATGAGATCACTTCACAAAGACAACTAAGGCCTCCTTAACTTCAGGAAAAATAATCCAGAGACATAATGAAAGCTTTTAAGATAAAAAAATCAAATCACATGACAAAATAAACTGTAAAGAACTCCTCAGAGCCATATAATATGATGAAAGTTCAATGATTTATTGAGAAATACAGCCTGAGAATTCAAAAACTATAATCCAAAGCTGCATGGAGACTAAGTTTATAATGTTTAAAAAAATCACTAAAAAAAAATCACTTCTAAAAGAAAAATGCCTAAATTTCAAGACTCAGGAAGAGGTCTGGAATATAACAAGAGGTAAACACTTCACAATACTTAAAAGAATGTATTCTGTCATTTGTGAAACAAAATTGTTGCATCATTAGATTAAGTGGAACTTTAAAAATCATATAAATACATGTGGCAGTTTGAGCCACATTAGAAATCCAAAATCCAATTTCCAGGCTTCCCCCACCCCTTGCAACAATTTATCCCAACACCGAAGAGAAAACTTTCAGGCCAGAGGCTTCTATAGGGGGAAGGGGAAATATATACATTTATTTTACACAAATAAATACTATACAAATTAAAGGCAACTATATATATATATATTATTACACTTCTATCAGTCCTTTAAGCCCCTCCCTTTAACTTTAGTCCAGGAAAAGCCTTCCAAGGCTGATGTAATGCAGTCTGTCTCATGGGAGTGTTCGGGGCCCCTGAACACTCCCTTACCAACCTTCAGCTGTTTGCTGCAGTTTTTCCTTCGAAGTCAACAAAGACAAGCTTTGAGTCTGTCCTCTCATACCTTGTTTCGTAGACTGCTGTAGTGTAGTCAGTTTATCAACATCCTGGAATTTCATTCTTCCTCCGGGTTTTCGGCTGTCCTGCGTTTAAATCACTGTGAAGGACATCCTCCGGGCCTCTCTCCGGTCCATCTCTAATTTCGCCTGGGGGTTTCTCTTCCCCTGGCACTGAGCTGTATTTAGCCCATCCACTTTGGCTCTGCTCCAATGCTGAGCCTTAAAATCCACTCCCACTGAACAGTGAGAGGGAAAAACAGCACCTTTCTGCAGCCTGGCTGCAAAGGGGGGGGAAGAAGAGGGCCCGGCCACAAGGCCTACCTCTCTCTTCTCACTTACCAGTTGTTTTGTGAGTCACGTCCCTCACAAACATGCACTCATTCCAATGCTGTCTCTAACTCTGGCCTAGGCAGAGTTAGGGGGGCCGCAGGGCTCCCCTCCCCACTGCGGAGGGGAGGAAGAAGGAGCCCAGCCACCCCCTGGCTTTCAACACCTACACGCAGCAGACACCAACAGAAAATATACCAACAGCTTCCAGTGCTGTGATATATGATTTTGAGCAGAAGCGAACAAGATGAGTGGTGACTGGCTCTCCAGGGAACACTGTCCTGGCACCCAATCACCTCTGAGCCCCTGACTCCCGGGGGGGCCATCTCAAACTATGACAGTACAGAATAAGAATCTTACAACAAATAAAGTTAGAATATTTATTCTGGAAAGACTATCAGAACAAATCCAGGTTTTTTGCTTTACAACAGGTTACTATTAACACAAATCTTGAGGAATTAAACACTATGGGGTTTTCTTAATATTCAACTTTCTTATTAATATAATCCTTGATTACAGATCTACTGTATCTCACCATGCTAAGCAAAGTTTTATATTTAACAAGCATTATTACCTTAATTATTTTCACTTCTCTACTTAATCAAGGGAAAGAGTGTTAGTAAAACTGAAACTCACATGTACACCTCACTGACATATCTATGGAAGAAACTAAGCAACGGTGTTTACAAAAACAATGTGGGTAGATAATTTCAAAGCCTTTCAAACTCTCTTCAAGTCATAAATTGGCCTTCAGAAAATGTCAGGAGTATACATGTAAGACCTGGTACACTTGTAAAGTTGGAGGCCTGTTAGATGGATGTATTTATGGTAATAGTTCCAAATGGCACACTAAAGCTTAGAAATTTTTAGACAAATGCTTCTCTCCACCATAAAACTTTCTTTAGATTCATGATCTCAAATTTATTTGCATGGTCAGGAAAAGTGTAACAAATCAGAAACAGTACATTTCATTTTGACAGAAGAAATTCAGATACTTCACAATTTTTTCAGTGAATTTGTTTTCAGTAACAGTAGCACTATGGTTTTATTTTTATTCTTGGTATCTTTGTTAGAGAATATAAATAAGAGTCTTGTTGAACAGTGACACCATTACTCTTTTTTTCCCCATGACAGATTCAATTGTGAAGTAGCTTTGATTAGCAACAGCAGAAATTGTTACAGTACTGCAGCAGCATAGTTGCATGTTTGTTTCTAAAAAAAAGAAAAACAAACACCAAATTGCAATTTCCTTTAAAACTGTCTGATACAGAAGCTTAATTTAAATGCAGAAACAACTTTTATTATTCTAGAAGAGGACTCACCTGCACCTGATATTTTGGAGAAGAATTCTGATGTAATGCATTAGAAGCATTATGTGCTTCCTGAAGTTGGACTTGCAACAGACAAATTGTTTTATCTTTTTCAAGTAAGTGATCCTGAAGAGAGGCACAGCTCTGCTGCAGTTGAATTTCACTTGTTTTAACAGTTTCAAAACATAAACTCAACTCGTTATAAAGCTATGAGAGGGGAGAAGAGAAATACTAGGATTAAAAATAACTCCAATGCAGATAACCACATTAATACAGAAAGTATGGTTTAGGTAACTTATCCACAAAGATCACCCTCTTTTTTACCCACTTGTCCTCCTGCCCCCTGTTCAGTTCTATACATTTCAAAATTGCAACAATCACTGTAACTTTAAGTTTGAAATAAGTTTTCCAGAAAAATACAGCTCATGGTAGAATATTATCAATTTCAGTTGCTTCTCTATAGCATTTATAAATAGAAATGGCCATCTAAAAATCAGGATTGATTTTACTTCTTGAACGGTTTATATAAAATACAGAAAATACAAAAGGAAAAGAAAATCCCTTCCTGAGAATAGGCAAAAAAGTTAAAATATCTGTTCAGGAGTAAGAATACCAAATACCATTATTGTCTTTTATAAAGTAGTTTCATCTTTTAAAAGTAACATTTTAAATATAGCTCGGATAGAAATACAATGAATCCACTAATGCCTATCGCATTTTGTACGAAGTGTAAAATGATTGTGTAATTATTCTGTGGGAATTTTTTTCACATTAACTATAAACCCCAGAGATTATACTGTAAGTTCTTATCCCTGGCTGTTGTACAACTGTTCTTTCTGAAACCAGAATATTATACATATATTTTGCAATTGCTTTAGAATAGACTTCACACACACAAAGAACTTCTAAAACAAGTTCTAAAAAACTAGCAGTACATGCCATCTGACAAAAATAAGTTCTCTTATTCTTGCAAAATAAGTTAATAACCACCCCATACCTCCATTGTTACCCATCTTTTTCCATTTAAGTATCTAAACATTATTTAAAATGATTCATCATTAAAAAAGAGAAAAAAACAGTTTGGAAAATAAATCTGTAGTTGAATAAACAGTACAGATTCTAAAGGAAATACACAACTGCACCTTCACTAGCTAACCATACATTCCTTCCTCTCTTCATTTCAGTCCTTCATTCCTTTGATTGTCCTTTTTTCTCAAAATGAACAATATACCCTCTGACTATTCTACCATAAAATAATCTACAGAAGGTATGAATGTACACCTGTAGGGAACAGTTTTCTTTGGAAAATCCATCTCTGCCATTCAATTAAAAAAAAAAATTAAATATGAAAATCAGATTTTCCAAATATATCAATAATGTTTGTAAGCACAAGAAATTGACACGATATTTTACTTGTAAAAACACTATTTTACTCTTCATTTTACCCCTTGTGTTGCCAGTTTTATTTAAATTCTACAATCCTTTCTCCCTTTCATCTGTTTACATCACTTAGAAGTTAAAGCCTTTGAAAAACAGTCACAACTTTTCAAGTGGTAAACTGTCTACCTAACATTTTCTGAGAAATTTGGAAATAATAATCTCCCCTTTCCTTCTTCCTAACATTTTCTACTCCCGTGGTCTCTCAAAATCCACTTAGGACAAAGTAAATTACTTCTTGCCTATTTCCAAGGCAGATCAGAGATCATGTCTCTCAGGCAAAATTAATTCAAAGTCCAGACAGATTGATATTTCAAATGGCTCCAAGTCATTAAACATTTGCATTGAAATTTCTGTGCCTACTGAATCTTTCTTTTTTATTTAAGAATGCTTACATCATCTCTAGAAATTTAAGTTCAAGATTAGCCAATTTCTTATGAAAAATCAGTAAGTATCTCACAGGAAAATAAACAGTTCATTTATCAAAAACATGCATTTTTAGATAATATCCTTCCAAATGAATGGAACATCAAGACACAGTTACTTCCAGCTATAACTATATAAGCTCATTAGCTAGATCATCCTGGTATGACAATTTGCTGGTTTTATGACTAGAAGTACTTAAATGGTTGTAATTATAGTATCTGAAAGGTAGCATCCTAGTAAGATGAATGGAGAACATCAAAAATATGATGTCTTTTCCTAGTTGGCAGCTGCATCCCCTAATGCAGCTAATGGGTATTTGGTAGTCAGCATTTGTCAGGGCAAGACAAATAGCACATCTTTTGACTTGGACAAACTTTTCCAACCTTTCCTGCTTTGAAAACAGTACTAAAACACAAAACACATATATTTCAAGCATAAAACTAGCTAAAACCTATGTGCAAAAAACCATTCATACTGTTCATCTCTTTACACTAAGGTTTATATATTTTTTAAACACCACCAATGTACTATTTAATAGTACACAGATTCTTTTTTTAAGGAATTTAATATCAGGAATTTTCAAAATTAAAATTATCTGTACAAAAATAAATAGTTTCATCTACTGTCCACAGACAACTGGAACAGCTTCTAAATTTCCATTTGGATCCCCATATTTTCTTTTACTGTTTTGTGGATTAATGAGTGCCTAATGTTTATATTGGATTATTTTGGGGTTTACTGCTCATTTCTGACCCTGTTCAGAAGAGGCACTACAATTAATCACATTAGAGTGAGCACATTCTAAAATACAAAGACTTGCACAGCACAATGAAATAGGTCTATCATTAATAAAGAAATTCAGGTGTGGAGAAGCATTGTAAAATGAAGATCAGATGATTAGAGAAGGAACATTGCATAGAACAGCCAGAGAAAGAAAAAATATTGTAAATTATTTATCTCAGAACTAGCAAGCTTCACAGAAGAAATGAGTGGAATCTTGACTGTACCTATCTGAATGGTTATACCTTACCTGAATGTCAACAGGACATGAGATTTACCCAGTGAGCTTGGTAATCCCCCAACAAAGTTATGAAAAAATATTTATGTTTACAAGATAGAAATAAAAAGGAAAATATTTTAAATAATTCTTTGTTACATTTTATGACACTTGGTATTTTTTTAAAAAAAAGCATTAGCAAGTGACAGAAGACTGCTCTGCAAAAACTGTTGCACTGACTATACTTTCAGAACCTCTTTCTAAGGCGTTACAGCTGCCCTTTCTCTGACAGGCAGTACAGATTATTGCAGGTGAAGGTACTTAAAAACAAAGGAGAAAAGATTAGAAGTATCTGAAATCAGTACCCTGTAATAAATTTAGTTTGTATGACACAAGAGCATTATTCATCAGTCAGAAAGGGTAACTTAGCTGAATTGCAAAAAAATAAAGTATTCCGTATTTCTTAGCTATCCTAACAATTTTCTATATTGATTTACCTGATTTCACCAGAAAACACTTTTTGGTACACCTTTGAAGAGTTACTTAAAACAGAAAATGTAATGCCATCAAGTAACCTAAAAATATCAAACTAAACCCAGGAATTCCAGAACCAAAAAATGGAACTCTAATGCCTGCTCATATGCAATAGAAAACATTTAACAGCCTGATAATGTGGGATGAGGAAGTACTACCGATATACATTAAATACATGTTATGGCAAAATTATCTTAGATCAGAGCAAAGAAAGCTGAGAAATTCCAACAAACCCTAGCAAAATTAAATAATTAACCCATGCTATTTATTGTGTGGTGTGGTATGGTATGCTAGCCAGAATCATAGTGCAGCCTGAAAAAAACCTGCAGAGTGAAACAGTTGAAACAAATGACCAACACTAACAGTATAGAAGTGTGCAGGATTCATTTTAAACTAGGTTTAGATGGCTCCTTGCACTACATGCCAGCTAACAGCTGGGGCATACTTTTCAGTTCCAAAATAATTTCCAGTTCCATACTCCAAAAGGCATTTAGTTAATACTCTCATGAATTTTTCTGTGGTATCAACTAAAGTACAGGGAGCAGGGCCATTTAGGAGACTTCCTTCAAAATCGCCAGTGAGGAACTAAGGTAGATCCATCTAATGAAACATAACAGTAGCCATATATAAGCATTGGGTATAGAACAAATATTCTCCAACATTACATGTTTTATCTAAATGCTCACACCCTAAAAAAGTGTATTACAGAGACCTGAGTAAATAAAATCATAGAATCACTAAGGTTGGAATAGATCTTCAAGATCGTCAAGTTCAACCTTTGACCAAAACTCATCATGCCAACTAAACCCTAGCACTCAGTGCCATGTCCAGTCATTTAGGAACCCTAACCTACAGTAATACTAATCACATAAATAAAAAAAAAGTCAGTCTAAATTGAGACATACTAAAACTATAATGGAAATTATTATAGCACCATTGCAGAAAGCCATTTACAAGCCATGCTGTTTATGAGAACTTGAAAAGAACAAGGACAGAAATCTGCTGGTAAAGCTCTAGAGTGTAGCTGAAGAGACACTCCAGACAAACGGTACATAGCCCTTTCATGATGTTTAGTTTTATTTTATTTATAGATTATTAATTTTTTTTCCCAGATACTTGAATATTCTGCAGATACCAATCTACACCGCTACGCACAGGAACTACTGTACACTAAGAGTATCAGTACAGGGCTTTTCAAGCATGAAAATCAACGCCTCTGAGTCCACAATTTAACATCACCCTAAAAGAAACAGAGTTTACCCAGGATTTATTCGCCTTTAGCCTACAGGCACATCTGATGCCAAAATTTACTTGCTAGCATGTGACCAACTGTACTGATGTTTGCTATACAAGAAAAAAGACTAAGCTAATTAACACACTTCCCAACAATAGAAAACAGTATCTGAGCTTGAACTAAAGTATGTGAATCTCTTGAAGATCTGAGTTCCTCACAACTTGAATATACAAAGTGGACTAGGAAAATGATGGTTTACTTATTACTGATGTGGGTGTCACCATATTTGACCAGACAGATAGTTTTTCTCTTATCATGTGTGAAAGAACTTATGCTTTTCATTCCAATATGCGTAAGAACCTGCATTTTTACTGCCATTTACAGATTTGTATGGGTTTAGTTTTTATTTTGTGAATTTGATGCTGCTTACATAAAAATTAACACATTTATGTATTTTTAACTATGCTTAAAGGTTGTTGCAGTTACAAAACATACTGGACATGGTAAAATTTAACCTTAATATGGTAAACACAGTAACTTGATGTCCTGATTACAATTTTTCAGGCTTGAAGGAAAGTAAACTATCTCTACCCACTGACACACTAGCAAAGGCAACTAAAGGTACAAAACTAACATCTGAAAGTATATCTATCACTTTCATATTTTTCATCCACTTGCTGGTGCACTTGATGCATACTTCCATAATTGAAAACTCTTACTGTGTTTTCTAATTACACCAAAAATCTAACTATTGAACAATGTTTTCTTCATTACAGACTTCCACTATACCATTATCCACAGTATTCTCTATTTGAGAGCCGAGTTCCAGGACATGAATTATCATTTCTCATTGAATGACAAATTACTGGAATATTTCTGCTCCACTAAAAGGGCCTTCCATTGAAAGACTTAATCAGTGTGATTAACATAGGTCCTAAAGGTCACATCAGATAAGTGAAAGTACTGCATTATAAAAACAAGGGCCTTAAATTGTAAATTTCAGAAAACTGTGATAAGCTGGCTAAGGACTTCAGAATCTCTTCTTGTCTTATTATCTCTAGTATTGATTGAAATCTCTCCACCTTGAAATTGTTGGTGAGGACAAATCTATGGAGTCTCATTAAATCCAGCACAGGAATGAACTCCCCAGAGCATCTGGGACCACTAAAACAGATGCTATACATTTTAGAAAAATATTCTCTATCCTTGAGAATGTGAACTACAGCTGCAATATGAAATAGATACCAATTTGTTTCCATAAAAGCTCTAATGTAAAGGAGTTACGTAGAACACAGTATCCTTAAAATCTGCACTTAGAGAAAAAAAGAGCAGTATGTAAAGTCAACGCAATTAGATAAAAGAGATTGCAGATCTTTACGCACTGCTCACTACAGTTAGACTTGGAAGAGAATTTGTGGTCTTGACTGGATTTACACATAATCCAGTGTAAGTTTATGACCTTTGTCAGGTTTATTAGAAAAGTTTTTTCTTTTTTCAGTCCACTGTTTCATACTACACATTAACATCAGCACAAAGATCTGTTCTTCTCAATGGTAGACTGTTAAAATGAACTTGCAATATGTGAGTCAACCACACTGCCTAAGCTATAGCATATACTGCCTATCTGACCAGAGAGGTCACTGATCTTGCAGTAAGGGACAATATATCACAGGATGTACATGCTGATAGGCTCAATGCCATTTGAAGCAGTAGGAAAATATTCCTTTGTGACTGTGTTTATGGAGTAGCTGACACATCCTTATCTAGGTGTTGCAGCCTGCATATTATTAATACAGGGAAGACAAACAGAAAAAACATTTGTCTGCAATAGTTTGCCTTTCTCATTCAAAGGAGAAAATAGACATTTGTATTACTTCTATAGATACTGAGTTTTCCAAACTGTGTGACTTCAGTAGAACTGTGTATCTTCTGATTTGAAAAACACACATTACTTTGAAGCAATTACAGTTGGGTGTTTTATACAGTTCTAATCAAAAATACAGAACAGGATTGTCATGATACAGAACAGAAATACAGAACAAGATTGTCTGTTTTCCCTTCCAAAGCTCTCAACTCAATCTGCCACAAACATTATAAATTCTATTCCACTCTGACTTTGGGAACTTCACTTCTCCTTTTTTTACTTCTTTTTCTTTTACTTCCTTTTTTTTTTTTAACATATTTACATATTACCTACATTCTCTCTTTTTTTCATTCTATAATTTACTTTGTCTGCCCCAAATAGGTAAACTCCTGTTGCCTCATAAATGTTCTGAACAACCTGTTGCTTGACTCGGTTACTATTGTAATGTATGAGAGACTTAATGTCTGTCATCACTGCAGTCAATAGTAAACTGTAGAGCTTTGTAGGGGGGGGGACTTTTTCTTCCTTTTTCTATACAGGAGTTCTTTATGCTGGTATTCCACAAAAAATTATAATTCCACAAAATTTATAATGCAAACTGCAGCACACAGTACAGCATTAAGTACATAAAAATGTGCTGGGCACTATGAGCTATAAAATGGTAATCAAAAACATCTTTAGAAACCCAGTACTGATTCTGGCTTGACTGAGGCCTAGTTTCACACTTTTATTACAAACTGCACACTCTAAGTAAGATGACAGAGGGAGACACCTTTTTGGGAAAAAGCACTGGCAGTACACAATTTGTGAAAGTAGTTCCAAGATGGTAAAAGGTGTGTAAAAATTATATATACAACTTATTACTTGTCTTCTTCCTTCTCAGTGTTTCTAAAAAGGAAGCAAACGTATCTTCCATATTTCTTATAAACTGAAAAACAAATCCATATAACTTGGTAACCTAAAAGAAGTTCTGAGTAGTACACGTGTGCCAGCTCAACATTTTCCTTGACAGTCACCAAAAACATGAAACTGGTCTGCAAATGTAAATATTTTAAAAAGATACTATAGCAACAATTTTTCCAGTTAATTTTGATAGAGCAGGTTTTTGTATCTTAAATCACTAAAATTATTTGCGATTCACACACATACATTGTTTACAAGTAAAAGGAATTTCTCCCACCAAACTAAGAAAAGCAATTTGGAGAATTCAGTAACTAAAAGCTCCTGTCCTCCAGCAGAGGAAGAAATAAACACAAATAACACAAAATTACATAAAGAAATTTATATACTTCGCAACTCATTCCTATTTTTCTAGAGATGCAACAAAATCTTAATTTTTGAGGCTCATCAATCCAATGTATGCACAGGTATGTAATTGAGCCAATAAACTCTGCTACTCAACCATATTTTGCAACAATAAAAATATAGACATATAAAGGATACAACACTAGAAAGTGCTTTGGTTACTCTGTCCACTGATATTGTACAGATGGATATTAAAATGAACCCTGTGATCCTAAAGCAGAATAACGTACTTTTTGATATAATGTTATTTCAGCTGTGTGAGCATCTTCTTGGTCTTTCATTACTTTTTGTGTATTAGCATTGAGAGCCTGAACCTGCTTTATCAGCTCAGCCTGCTGTGCTGTATAGTCAGTGTTTTGTCCACAAAGATTCTGCAGCTCCTGTAACTCCTTCCTGTGCAAAAAGAGCAATAAAAAGAAATTCAAAAAAAGAACAAACTCCATTAAAGAATTGCATTCAAATAACTTTACTGTAGATAATGAGCTTTCTATTTTCATTTATTTTTTCTGCCAATTACCTTGCAAACACTAGAAGTTACATATAAAATATCACACGCTTTTGAGAAATATCTACAAAGCAGTTTAGGTTCAAAATGGAATGCCTTTCAATTTCCCTCTAATGCATTAACTGTTCTAAAATAAATGGATTTTCGCTACTGCATTGTTTTCTAATCAATATTCAGTTAACTCTTCAGCAGTGTCAAAATGTAAAATATGTAGAACACATTGACTGTAAAATAAGTTGGTTTTTTTTTAAACTAGAACTATCAGAAGGAGATACAAGTTTTTCTTAACTTTCAGAGTATGTTTGAAGCAAGTCTCTTTTCTGAAATGCATCTGCTCCCTAGACACACGAAGTATGTTTGCTGATAAATTTTTTTTTGTCTACACGTACAGCATACTGCAACAACCATAAGCAAAATAAGCAAACACTTCAGTGTGTATTACATAAAATAATAAAAAGTTCTATGAAGACAATAATAGGAATCACACTGTAATGTAACCATAGGATAAAGCTACTATAATCAGCCTGCTTGATAATTTAACTGTACTGCTGATGGATTTTCTAAACTAAGAATGAAGATCAGTAACTCTTACTTATTATAAATGATGATTAAAAATTTAAAATATTTTCTGTAACATATATTAAAAGTTCAGATAACTATTAATCCCTATTTACATATTTTATGCTTAGTTTGCTTTTTAATTCACAAGCATATCTCGCAGACATACACATACTGAAATATACACTTAGCACTCCAACTAATTTTCTTCCTTACTTCCTCAAAGAATTGTGTCTGTAACCTCCAACACATAAGCATCATCTTTGCACCTGGAATAATTATTTACAACAGGAGTTATCATTGCAATTTTATAATACGGTTGAGATGTCCCGGCAAATATTAGCATACAAAAGGTAAGCAGAAATACCAACTTCATTGTGTTTTCCAGAGAAAAAGCAGAATGACAAAGAAAATATTTTAAGGGAACTTTCCAAAAAACATTTCTGAAGACCTTTGCCACTGTTTAATAGGATGATAATTCAATAAAGATACATCTGAATAATTACATAAGAATTTAAATTACGTGGACCACAACAGGACAGTCAGACAACTTAATTTTGTTAAAAAGAACTGTTTAAAAAAGCCTGTTGACAGACCAACACAGGATGACACTTAACATGCTCACTATGCTTACTAGGACTTAACAGTAAGTCCTACCATTCTTCATGAAATGTAAAGTGGTTCCCCAAAGCTAACAAGGGCAGAGGTACATTAAAGACATTAAGAAAACCAAAGTACAACTGCAGTATGTACTTCATATGTACTAATTTCATTCTGCTCAGAAACACAGCAGCAGAAATAAGAACACAGTAATATATCTGCACTTTCTGGCAGCTGTACAACAGGTCTCCAAACAAGTAGTTCAAGTAGAAATGACACAACTTTTCACTGCAGTTAAAACACAGATTATATTAATTTTACACAGGTTCTCCAGTCAGATCTTCGTTTTGTTGTGGAAGGGAAAAACATGGGATAACATTGAATCCTCAGATACTGCTGGAAATGTTGGCAGTAACTACTGCCAAGACCAGTCTGCTATATTGCTGCTCTTTAATTTGTATGCAAACATCAATGCAGTTATCTGTGTCTGTCACTCGAGAATGCTCAGTATTATGTGTTCTCTAGTGATCTGTCCACAAAGTGTATTAAGGTCAATGGGAATCTTTTTTTGTTGACTTTTATCAGGGTTTGAGTCAAATCCTTAAGGGGAGAGGATGGGGGGAAAGCTAAACCTTGCAGTCACACAAGAACTGCAGCACAGTCAGAACACATTAACATGTTTTCTCATGTTAAATCCAAGGATTTCCAAATGTAAGGAAACTGTCACCACCTTTACAACACATTTTTAAAATCAAACTTTATTTATTCAGATACATACTTTAACTTACTTTCCTCTTTAGTGAATGAGGTACTATTTTTACATTACAAATCAATGGGGGATCCTTCTTTTATTTCATTTTTACACAAGAAAAAGGAAATTATGCTCATCCTACCAGGAATTATTCAGTACCAATGGTGCAATACAAATAAATACACAGAATTAAGCACCTTTGACAACAGACAGGCCAATCTGATGATGGGAGCTTTAAACTAGGAATGGTAGGGGACAGCGATGTTGATGAAATAACAAGTGAGGAAGCTGTGGCCTGGGCTGGCAAGCAAGGGACACAGGTAAATATGGACAGAAAAGACCATGTGATGAGCATCAGAACACTCCGGGAAGACTACCTCCACCATATGCACATAAATAAGGGAGTGCTGATAGTATGGGGGAAGCTCTTAAGGGTCTTTCTGGGAAATAAACACAACTGCGTACGCATCTGAAGTTGCTGTTCAAATGCACACAGCACACCCCCATGGAAAATCTCTGGAGGAATGAAAGATCTGCAGGGCTCATTGGGATCATAGAGACAAGCTGGGACAACTCACATGACTGAAGCATGGACATGCATGGATAGAGGTTCTTCAGGAAGAACTATGTTCAAGAAGAAGGGTCTGGGAAACTACCAGCAATCAACCATACCTTAGTCCCTGGGAAGGTGATGAACCACATAAAGGACAAGATAATCACTGGGAGTGGTCATAAGGAATTCACAAAGAGGAGATAACGCCTAACTGGCCTGGCAGCCTTCTCTGATGAAATTACTATCTCAGTGGATAAGGGGTGAGCAGTGGGTGCAGTGTGTTTTGATTGCAGTAAGGTTTTTGACATTGTCTCCTATAAAATGCCAATAGATGGACTGATGAGGTACAGCGTAGGTAAGTGGACAGTAAGTTTCCCTTGAACCTTGCAGAACTACCAGGTTTAAAGAGTTATGATCAGTGGCACAAAGACCAGTTCAAGGCCAGGCATCTGTGGAGCATCCTAGGGGCTAACACTAGGGCCACCACTTTTTAGCATCTTCATTAATGACCTGGACAATGGGACAGAGTGCACAGTGGCAACTTTGCTGATGACACAAAAATGGGGGGTGTTAATTGTTTCAACAGATGTCTGTACTGCCATTGAGAGAGTCCTTCACAGGCTGGACAAATGGCCTGAAGTTCAACAAAGACAAGTACAAATTACCAGCCCTGGGGAGCAATAACCCCATTTAAAAGCACAGTCTGGGGACTGACAAGCTGGAAAGCAACTTGTCAGAAAGTGCCCTGGGGATTCTGGTGGACACCTGATTGACCATCAGCCAGTGATGTGGTCTTGTGCCAAAGGCCAGTGACATCCTGAGCTGCACGGAGAACAGTGCTGCGCTGCCAGCAGGGGGAGGAAGGCGATCCTTCCCCTCTATTCAAAAGTTTTAAGGCACATCTTGATGCTTGTCTGATTCTGGGCTCCCCAGGAAGGGAGAGACATGGAAATGATGGACTGAGCCCAATGGAGGACCATAAAGACAATGAAAGTATTGGAGCATCTGCTGGGCTGGGAAAACTGGGGCTGCTCAGCCTGGAGAAGGGAAAGTTCAGAGGTATACTATCAAGATGTATAAATACCTGATAGGAGCCTAGAAAGAAGATGCAGACAGACTTTTCTAAGTGATGCACAGTGAAAGGAAAAGAGTCAATAAGCACAAACAAAAATCAGATGGAATTCCAGCTAAATATAATAAAGTGATTTTGTCCTTTAAAAGTGGCCACACAGTGGAAAAGACTACCCAGAGATGTTGCAGAGTATCCATTCTTGGACATACTCAAACTCAATTGGACACAACAATACTGGATAGCCCTGTTGTAGCTGATACTGCTGGAGCAGAGGGCTGCAGCTGTGTAACACTCCAACTCTGGGAGCTGCAAGCTCATGGGCCCAGCCAGGAGTTTTACTTTTAAATATAGATATAGGGTTCTTTAATACCTTGAGATAGCATCAAGAGAATAAGCCACAGACTTGTTCCCAAGGGGTTTCTTTATTAATTGAGGGGAGAAAACAAGGGAACCTGGCAAAGGTTCAAAAAAGGCACTACACAAGTTAGACAAAATGTTCCACCACAATACCAATCCACCACATACTAATCCACAACACTTAAGTCAAAACCCATTCCCTCCAGCTCCAAGCCACCCAAAGCATCAAAAAAGGAGCAAAGAAAGAGAAGCAGAGAGAGCAAAAAGAGAGAAGGAGAAAGAGGGAAAGAGAGATCATATAGCTACCACTGAGACTTTGTGGAAGATCAGCTCTCACACATCCAAGTGGCAGGGCCATGACACATGGTAAACATATGCTTTTGGTTTTTTCTACTCTGGATCCCATGGCCAGCCCCCCCAGCTGGGGTCTCTGACCCACCATCCACTCCGGGGTTCTAGGCCAGGGTGAGGGGCACTGTCCTCACTGTCCCTGCCAATCTGTGGCTGGCTTAGGGGTTGCAGGAGGTGTGCTGTGTTGTAGTTTTCCTGGGCTGTTTGTGACTGACAGCTACTCCGGGGCTTCCTCCTGTGGGTTCCAGGGGCCTGCCAGGAGGGATATGACGCCACCTCACCTCCATGAGTTTTGACCCATCCCTTCCTCCTTCACACACACACCCTCCCACCAAGGTGGTTCTGACCCAATAATCACTGATCTAGTGTCTAACAACCTGCTGGGGCAGCAGAACTACACAATCTCCACAGCCTCAGCCACTCAGTGATTCTGTGTGATTCTGTTACTACTTTGCTTTGAGCAATTTGCTCAAAGAGAGTATATAAAATCAAGCCCATGATAATCCAAAAAAAAGTTACAAGACAAAAATTAATTTCTGATCAAAATATATATTAACATGCTTACTCAAAGCAGTAAACAACTCTACAAGACAGACACCTGCCTGGCATGTGTCCCCAGAAAAATCATACTCTTGGGTGAGCATGTAGAGAAGAAACAATCAAAAATTGAAAATTGAATGCAACAAAGGTAATGAGTTACATTTAAAATATAAGTGCCTATATACACACCCATAGATAAGTATACATAGGCATCTATAAGTACATAAACAGAGATAAAGAAATATATACATCTACACGTAAAATATATAAATTATATGTGAAAGTGTATATACGTAGATATAAGTAGGATATGTGTATACAAACATAAGCACATATTGATAAAATGTTGCAGTATACAAACATAAGCACATATTGATAAAATGTTGCAATATACTGTAACTCTAAACAGACACAAATTTAAGAAAAAAGTCACCACCAGCAACAGTATTTGAAAAAACCAATATTCTATCAGCTAAGACCCAAACTGAAGCACTCCTTAAGTCTACTTTTTCCCCATCATCCCTACACTTCCCATAAACAAGAAAACTATGATACACTGAGAGCATTTAAATTCATTTAATGGTGAAATCACTAGGTAGTACTGAGGAATTAAAAAATACCTCTCTGTCTCCAGTATAATAGCTCAAGATGAATACAATGGGAAATGAAGAAATTTACAGAAATTACTGTACTCTTTGCACAACAATAATCAGCATGGCATAAAAAAGTCAGGTCTTTCTTAAGTCAAAATAGAAGCATTACTAAATTATTTCAACTACTAAAGTAAGATGGTTGTTCCAATATCCTTAGCAGACTTTGCTTTCAGTATGGCAAGAATGCTACACAAAGACAGTAGAAACTGGACTGCAGAAAGACTCAAAATATTTGACACCTTGTCCTGACAATAACTATTTTAAAGTCATTACTATTGTTAAGGGTAGGGACAGTTTTGGTACTCAAATCTGACAAGAGTGCGAACTAAGGGGGAAGAAAACCCAATATTACTACAAAAGAAGTACTTGGAAAATCATCAGGGATACATTTGGACTATGCACTAATCAAAGGAATAAAGTCATGGCCCACACTTCCACTAAAAATACAGGGGCAAGAAATTCTAATTCATTTTAGAATAGAGCTTACTATATTTGCAAGCAGTTTAACATTTTCTGGATACCTGTGACAGCAAGGCTAAAGTCTCAGTGAGTCAAGGAAACCTCTCCAGTTTGATGTTCAGAGTTCCACCAGAGCTCTGTGTCAGTGAGACTCAGACCGCCAACTGCTCAGATCAAAAAGTTCTAGATCCTGCATTTAGCATAATTTTAAAACAAAAATCACAGAGATGCATTGGAATTAATCTTCAGAAACAATGGGCAAGATTTTATGTTCTTTGAAAACATGAGAATGGAAAAGCTATCAGGGACTCTAAATAGATCCAGAAAATCTGTACTGAATGCAAACATGAAAAATATAACCAGGGAATGAATTTCTCAACTAATTCAGGAGTTTGAAATTAAACCCAGTGAGGTCAAGGTGTATTTTTCTGGATCTGCCTACGCTCCCTATGAAAGAAGACAACAAATGAAGGAAGCCTTTTTCCTTCCTTTGTTCTTCCAGAGTTTGTTTCTAATAATTACAACTGTGTTCCTGGTCTGTTTTAAAAAAGGAGGAAGGTGGGGAAGGTAGGAAGGCAGCAGACAGGGTGTCGTGATTTAAGCTCCGGTGGAAATCAAGCACCTTGCAGCCACTCTCTCAACACCCAACCAACCCCCTGACCCAGGCTGAATGGGGAGGAGAATCTAAGTAAAACTTGCATGTTGAGATAAGAACAGTTTCATAATTGAAAATAAAATAAAAAATTATGCTAAATAATATCAATAGTGATAATAAAAAGGAAACAAGTGATGTACAATGCAATTGCTCACCACCCACTGACTGATGTCAGGCCCACTTTTCTGAACCCAGGTCAGTCTCCCTTCCAGGTAACTCCCCCCTGGTTTATATACTGGGCATGACATTCTATGGTGTGGAATATCCCTTTGGTCAGTTCCGGCCACCTGTCCCAGCTGTGTTCCCTCCCACTGGCAGGGCATGGGACAAAGAAAAGAAAAAAAAAAAATCCTTGACTTAGGATAAACACAGCTTAGCATAAAAAACCCGCATCAGTTTGTTATCAACACCATTTTCATTCCAATAAGCACTATCCAAAATACAGCTCTATAACAGCTACTGAGAAGAAATTAACTACACCCTATCTAAAACCAGGACACAAGGAGACAGAGCAGTGGGAAGAATAGAGACATTTGCAAATAAGATCTTTTTCAGCTCCAGCAAATAGCAAAGAATACAATATTTTGAGAAATTTGAAGTTCAAGGATTTGGCCAATTCAGACTATTGTAAATCAAAACCATCAAGCAGTAAATTTTCTTACCTTAACTATCCAACCTTAAAATGCCTTCTTTGCTGTCCCTAGTCCTCACACAATTTCACAAATTCCATTGACTGCCTCTATCAGTACAATTTCCCAATAAACTTGCCTATTTTTATTGACTTTTTGAAACTCAACTGGTATTTATTCCTTTTAAACATGAAAATAATAATATCTCATTTTTCTTGCAGAGATTTCAACAAATACTAGGGTAACAATTAAGGTCAGATGCATCAAAAATATTTCTTGGGGCTTTTTTTCCAAAAACACGTAGATACTGACTCCCTATAGAAAGATGATTTCTGCCTGGAAAGCAAAGAGAAGTATCCATACCAATGATTTCTACATCCCAACTGCAGCTCTTCAGGTATAACCACAGTTTGAAGGAATATTGAAGGGAATATTATTTGTCTAACATAGAAGCGAAGTACTGTGTATGCCTCTGAAACAAAGAAGTGAAAAATGGACAATTTCCTGACAATCCAGCTAAAGTAACTGATTGTCTTCTGCCATTACCTTCATTCTGAGGAATTCAGTAGTCTAGTTAATTCATATAATTCATTCTGTCCTTCATTTCTTTTCCAAGACTCAAATAACACAGCACTAATCTTACAGATTCAGTGTAAAGAAATAGTGTGCGAGACTTAAAATAAAGCTTAAGTCACTGTGTTTTAAACATTTAGTACAGGCCTATGTAGATTTTTGTTGACTTGTCAGATTTGACTCTCATTAGAAAGTCAAACTTAGGTTTAAAGCTTTTCCAAGTGCAGGGCATTTAGCCTCTCTAATTAATATTTATGTCACCAATCATACTGTTAGTTTGTTACTTTCAGTAGAGATTGGTAGTTCTCTGACCCAACGCCAATTACAGAAGTGTACAAGTCTATACCCACTCAAAAACTGGTAAAATAGACCAAGTGTCAAAATATATCAGAGTTAGTCTACATAAACTGGTAGCCTTACATCCTGTGGAAACAGAATGATATTAAAATACACTGTTGCACAAAAATACTTCTAATGTAAAATACTGCTTTTTAAGTGGAACAGTAGCCTTTTCGAGAAGATTCAGATTTGAAGGTAATGAAATTATGAAATACTTACTTAGCTTTGATCACATCACAATTCTTTTGGAAGAGTTCTTCCTGTTTCACAGCTACATGAGATGACAAGTTACTGCATATACTGCGTAACTCTTTTATTTGTTCTCTTGCCTCTGCTAAATCAGTTTTCAAATTCTGCAAAGAAAGCATTTTAAATGCATTGAAGATAACGTATAAGAAACAGTCAAAATCTACTATGCATGTCATCTATGGATAGAGATATATGGCGTGCATATACCTGAATACATTTACTGTGGTCTAAGCAAATACATAAATATGTGTATATGTGCATGTATGAAAACTGTGAATACCAGAAAAAAAGGTGTATTTCAAATTTTAGTTGGCCATCTGTTCTTTAAGAAGTTTTCCTTAACTCTATTGCTGGATGTGGAAGGAGAATCCTGAATCAAATCTTTGCAAAATAATAGTACCCAATTTAACTACTGAATTGATGAAACTTTGTTTTTTAAGTAGAAATTCCTTAAAAAAAAAAAAAAAAAGCAGCTTTACTGTTTTAAGCTCTCTAAAAAATTCACAATGATGTGTAGATCAACTAAGAAACATAGACATAGATTCATTTTTGAGACTGCTTAACTCTTGCTCTGGTTTTGCACTGCTAATTCAGTGCAAGGAATAGTTTCTTCAGGAAAAGAAATACCATACAAGAAAACTTCTGGAAGTGCTCTGAAAACAATGCAAGTAAGCAAGAGTTTGCCTTTTATCATAAGCCTTACTGTATAAGTTAGTTAGCAAACTGTGAAAGTGTCTACAAGAAATATAGCAGCAAGGCAACTTACTCAAGCAAGACCTCAATCTCTACATAAACCTTGCTAGAGTTCACTCAGAAGAGTATATCAATCCTTAAGAAGCTTCATATGACTATTCTCCACAGAGTGTTTTGAGGCAAGAATGGAAATATAAATATTACAGCAATATCTAGAACAGAGTTTGAGAAGGTGGCAACAGCCTTAGACCTGCTTTGGTATTATACCACTCACAGATGAAATCACTTGTTCTCAGTAAGGCAAATATTCCAGGATTCATCAATAATTTAAAATAAAAACCCCATAGTAGAATAGCATCCCTAATCTACTGCCAAGAGTATATTAGTTTTCCATTTACATATAGATTTAGTTAAAGAGATAAAAAATGCACATTTTTCCCTTTCAGCAATGATGCTTCTCATATCGAAGTTATCAAAATGTTTTTTTAACTGAAATGTAAATAATTAATTGTTTCTCTTTAAACATAAAAAATGGTTTATACATATTTAGAAGTATCAGAATGTACTACAATAGAATTCTTTGAACTTGGACAAGAATTACGTCCTGCTAAGCAATAGTAACATGGATGTGAGGAAACAGCAAAATCCACAAGTGAATGACATAGGAAAACTGCTTCTTGATAAGTCTCAAGCTATATATCTGATGTATCCAACTAATGAGCCATCATTCAATCTCAAAGGCTAGTAGAAAGACTTAATTTTTCCTTGAATAATGGAAGATTTCAGAATTATAGGAGATAGTTCACTATCAACACATGAAATTTTTGACGGGTACTCATCATCCATTGCAGAACACAACAAAAAGAATAAGTAAGAAACGATCTGGCCATAAATACAACTTGAGAAGTCATCTAATGGCAGAATGCAAAAATAAAAAAAAAGTAACTTTCAGTACTTCACCTCATTTGTGACATACATAACTTCAGATTTTGCTTTCAACTAAGTAACAAATCAATTCAACCTTTTGAATGTATTTTGAAACCTTGAGTTTTCTGGAAGCATTACTGAAAAACCAAAACATGAAAACAGGGATAAGGGAACAACCGGTTATACAAATAGCTTAGGTTTCATTCATCATCATGGCCAGTCTTCATGAACGAAGATTTGGGAAAGGTCTTTACCCTTCGAGCCTGCGCAGTGGATTTTTTAGGTGAGACACAGTGTGCGCTGAACTGAGCCCACCCTTTAATCCTGAGGTTCATCTGCCGGGGCTGAGCAAGCTTGGACGGTGGCAGCGAGGTCCTCAGGACGTAGGTTTGTTTAGAGTGACCTTCTCTTAGATGGGTGGCCTTACAGGGCTGACGAGCTCCATCTGCCCAGGGAAGTCCCCTGACCGGGAATCGAACGGGCCCCCTGGTGGTCTAGTGGTTAGGATGCAGCGCTCTCACTGCCGCAGCTTAGGTACTGAAATATCATATATTGACATACAAAAGCTGTGCTGAATACTGAAATCAGAAATCTAATTCTGAATCATAGAAGTGTTTGGGTTGGAAGGGTTAAAAATTCACCTAATCCCAATCACCCCTGACATGGCCAAGGGACACCTTTCACTAGACCAGGTTGCTCAAAGCCCTGTCCAGCCTGGTTCTGAACACTGCCACACATGGGGCAGCCACAACCTCCCTGGGCAACTTCCTGTTCCAGTGTCTCACCACCCTCAAAGTAAAGAATTTCTTCCTAATACCTAACCTAACTTTCCCCTCTTTCAGTTTGTACCTATTACCCCTTGTCCTGTCACTACAGTTCCTGATGAAGAGTCCCTCTCTGGCTTCCCTGTAGGCCCCTTCCAGATACTGGAAGGTTGCTGTGAGGTTTCCATCCAATCTTCTCCAGGCTGAAGAGCCCAACTTTCCCACCCTGTCTACATAGAGGAGGTGTTCCAGTCCCCTTATTGATGTTGTAGCCCTTCTCTGGAGTTGCTCCAACAGTTCCATGTTCTTCTTATGCTGGGGACCTCCACGGGACCCCGCCCCACTCCTGGGCTGTCCTCCTGGGAAAAAGGTTTACTCTAGCCTCAAGTTTTCCTCTTTCAGCTTGTGTTGCCTTTCACCACTCCAACACACAAAGATGTAAAGAATGAATGCATCTCCTCCAACCCCTCCTGTTCGTGCTGGAGATGCTGCTGGGTGGCCCCAGCCCCAGAGCCATTCCTTCTCCTGGCCGAGTCAGCCTATCCCACCACCTCTCCTTGCAAGGTAAAGTCTCCAGATCCACTGTCCCACCTTCAGCCAGTTTACTGATGTCTTTCAGTACTGCAAATGTACCAAAAACAGTACCCAAAAAGAGATGTGGTATCTAGAGTACTGAGCAGAGTTCTTGGGGCCATGCCCCGCTCATACCTCTCATTGCTGGCCCCGATGCAGCGTGCTACCTGCCACTGCCCAGAGGTGTTCCCTGTTTGCCTGCAGGGCTCTGCCTTCACAGGGGAAGACTCATCATTTGTCCTGCCTAAGGTTCCCATTGTCCCAGTTCTGTCAAGCCCCACCCCAGATGGCAACAGCGCCTTCAAGCACATCCACTTCTCCCCAGTTTGGTGTCATCTGCAAATCTGATGATCACACCCACTGTTCCCTCTTCCAGATCACTGATAAAGATTTTAAGCAAGAAAGGTCCAGGATGGATCTTAGAGTACACCACTTACCACCAGACTACAGACTATTACAACCCATTAACTACAGCTCTCTCAATCCAAACATCCACATAGTTTCTTTAAACATGTTGCTGTCCACCTATCTAGCTATAACATCCTAACTTCGATAAAAGCATACAGCAAGACAGTGTCAAATATTAGCTAAAGTTAAGGTCAATCACAGCCAAGCTCTCCTCTTGTCCACAGACACAATCATTTTATCATATAAGCCAATCAGGTTGCTCAGGAACAATTCACCCTTGGTAAATCCATTATTGTTTCTGGTCATGTTCTCCATTAGTGCCCAGAAACTACTTCCAAGATTACCTTCTTTGTGATTTTCCCAGGGACTGCAGAGAGACTAACCAACCTTTCTTCTTGGATTATCCTTTTTATCATGGAGTTCCCCCAATAAAAGTTTTCTGCTACTTTTGAAGGACAATAGGCAGCTGCCTGAGAGTGCCATCAGCCAAATCTCCCAGCACCCTTGGATGCAGTTCCTTTCAGGTGGTCCAACAGATATGTACTAGTCAAGTTCTCTCAGGTATCCCCCAACACATCCACTCTCAGTACTTCTCACTGAAGCCTGTCTCTAGGCACAAACTTTTAGGGACATCTTGGAGAAGACTGAGGCAAAGATGATATTTAGTACCTGTGCCGTATCTATTACCTTCTGTCACTAATTCATCATTCTGTTTCAGCAACAGGTCCCCATTTTACTTGTTCTGCTTTTTACTGATAAAGTAGTGCAAGAAACTCATAACAGTCATTACTTGCAAGTCAACGGCAGGTTGGCTACCACTACCCTCAGGTGCTCAGACAATGCTTCTGAACTCCTCCTCTATAGTTTTCACTGTTTCTACTTCCTGAACACTGTTTTCCACACCCACCCTGGCACCTGGTGATTAATTCTGTTTAACCACACCGGTCTCCTGATATATCCGCTTGTTTTCCTGAGCATCAGGGTGGATCATACGTGGGATTGAAGAAAGATGTCTTTGAAGACTTGACACTTTTTCCTGAGTTCTTCATCCTTCAGTGCTGCTTCTCATGGGATTTCACTTACTGGTTCTCTGAACAAGCTGAAGACTCTGCTTCTCACCTCCAGGTCTGCACTATGCTATTCTCCTTCCTTCATTGTCTCAGGGTCTTGGTCTTGACAACTTCATGGTAACTGTAGCCTGGTCTGTCATTATTATTTTCTTAATCAGTTCTTCCTTGTTTGTAAACAGCAAATCCAGCTGTGTGACATCCCTGGCTGGCTCAGGCAACACCCATACCCAGAAGTAACCTCTGTCATAGTCTAAACAACACCTTGACCTGCTTGTAATGCCACTCTGAAACACCAACACTACTAATTCCCATCCCTGCAATCACCTGGCTCTGACACACCTTTCTCTCATAAGTGTGCCTCATCAGCCAGGAGGAGAGAGACATAAAAATTATTCTGTGTTCACTGAAGGTATGAGTAACAGATTTCCAATAATTTATCCAATATTAACAAGCACCACATTTGACAACTTGAAAATTATTACATCAGTTTAGCACACACTAGATTTTTCTGTCCCAAGTATCAATAAACCATTTCTTGCCCTGGGAATCCCATAATCCTTTCATGATAACCCTCCAAAGGAGGCAATTTGCAGGAACTTTACTTCACATGTTAGCAGATCTGAATGAAACTCTTGACAAATGGTTTCCATCAGCACAACAGTTGGAAGCAATACCAAAACAACTGAATTGCTAGTGCAAGGAAAAAGGATGTTTCTGGGTGAGGTATTAATTAGATAGTTACTACAATGAATATACTTCAATAATGTAAAAGAACACACCATTGTAAGTGTACAATTAGTCATGTAAAAAATAAGAATCCAATACCTAGATATGTATATAAGTAGCTGTCAAACACTAAGATACTATGTTTGTGGTTTATTTCTTATAAGGAATTTTAAAAAATGCTAGCCAATTTTCACCAGCAAACAAGAAAAAGTGTCATTTAAATAAAAGAGAAAATATTCCGTACCATGTATTCAATTATATTCTTTTTTGTTTTCTTATAAACAGTGAAAAGAACTTTTTAATACAAGCGATAATAAGTTCTCTCACAGAATGGAGACCTTTGGAGGCTAGGACACAATTTATTTGAAATTACACTTAAAATTTAAAGTGTTGTTGCAAAACAACAATTATGAAGAATACTGCAACAAAATTATAGGTAAGTTAATTACACATCAAGAAAAAATTTGTGATAACAGTTTTAAGCTGTTATTATTTCACATATATTTCTATTATCTTAAAGTACAGTATCTTTTATTTTTTAATGCTTACATTTTAAGATTACTATTTGAAGTCAGATTCCTGCTTTGCAACATCAATTTTTAAAAAGCTGTGGGTCTTAAGTGAAGGAATGTAAATGAATGCAAGTCCCCACTGATAAATTTGAATATATAACTTGCTATTTAAAGAAAATAACTTGTAGTGAAATGTCTGGAGAAGTTAATTCTGAAATAACATCTAGGAGTCCATTCCAATTCATACCTTTATTATGGCATCGCTGCCAGATTTTTCCATTTTCCATTGTGCCTCCTGCTTCCTCAGTTTCTCCAGGTCACTTAGTAGGTCAGCACAGCATGTATTTAATCCCTTATTTTCCTCCTCCAGCTTTTTTATAACCAGTCTGTTTTGCTCTTCCTTCTTCTGTGCACACTCCTCAGTGTCCTGTAGAACAGTACCACAAGGGCCGATAAACAAAAAAGTGAGAACTAATCAGCAAATATAAACTGTGCAGTTTTACCCTCACAGCAGCTTCTTCTATATTTGATGGCCAAGGTCACCTGTGTACTTTTATTGGCCTCCTTCATGCAGGTGGAAGGGTCATATTTTTTAGCTGGATGACAGCTTTGATGAGTACACATTTGCAAAGAGCCCATTAATTGATCAAGCTGCCTTTGATGCTGTCCCCAGCTATTTTTGAGACCCACACAGACATATCCTCCCAGACCTCGGCTTTATCAATTAATAATGCCAGTCCCATCAGAATCTAATTACAAGAAGCCACATCTTCACACTCCCACTTTCTTTGCTCCATTTCCATCATTAACTATTTATCTGAAAGTTATAAAGCTTGGATTCTTGGCTTTAAAGCATCTTCCTCAGAGTTGGTATGTGAGAAAATGGTAAGGTATAGCAAGGCCTAAGGCAATTTTTTCTCCAAGCTTGTCACTTTCTGTGCCACAAAGGCTGACATTGCTTAAAGAACTGCTTCAAAGCTACAGTCTTAAGAAACGATGTACAAGTCAATATACCTTAAGTTCTCGGCTTTTATCTTTAAATTTCTGGTTCAAGGTACTGAATTCATTCTTCAGACAGGCATTTTCCTCCTCCACAGCATTTTTTCTCTGCATTAAGTTGTTTATCTCCTCGTGCTGTCCTGTGAGTCTCTATTTAAATTAAAAAAAAAAGAAAAAAAAGGTGTTCATAGACAAAAAGCAATTGCGAAAGGGCATGCATGTCCTATGTTTTAGACCTATGAAATGTAACTATCTGACATATATAATTTTTACAGCATTGTTTTAATTTCATTAGTACTTTAATCATACACAAAACTGAAAGACTGTAAGACACATTAAGGTAAATGAGGAACCAAATATCTTGCTGCTGCTGAACTAAGAAGTCAATAAATGCAGAACTGAATGGAAATTACTCAGTGAAGCTCATTGGCAGAAGTTTTATCTGTGCTTATGTACTTAGAACACAATAGAATATTGTTTAACTTGAACTTCTAGCACACCAAAAATCAAGTCAGAGAGCTGACTTCAAAATTCTACAGAATTTTGATAGTAATTAGAAATTACTTTTAAGTGAAGCTTCCAAAAAGATTATGAAACAAAATAGTCGTAAAGAGAGAATTAAGTCTAGCTGAATATGCAGCTCAAGGAAAATAACACAACATTGCTCAATGCATACAAGAGTTCAGTGTACTCACATATAACAAAATCTTGCTGCCATAAAAAAAGAACTTCAAGTTCCTGTGATAAATACTTGCATTCTATTCTTATTACATTTGTACTAAAACACCCTCACTCTTAAAGGCATATTAGAACACTGCATTTTTCTCCAGGAGTCTGTTTTAATTCCACATACTGTTTTGTCCTGCCTCTTCTTAAAGAAATCAAAAGGGTATTAATCTAACATTTTCCTAGCAGTGACACTGTAACTGTAGAACAAAAATTGATGCAAATTTTATGTCAGGACAAAAACGTAACTGCTCTGCCTTTAATACATAGGCTAAAATGAATGTGTTCAGAAACATAAAAAATTATCAACAAGATGATACACCTCTAGATTAATCTACAATATTGCTGATAACATACGTAAGGGGTTTTGGTGTTCAAAGGTTACATCTGGTTCACAGGTATGTAAGACATGAAAAGAAATGAAAATTTGCCAGGTAAAAACACACAAAACAATACATTTGAAGTCATTTGCACTTTGGATATATTATTACAGTTGAAGGAATGAACTGATGCTGAGAGATGATTTAGTTGAATTTTTAGAAAGGTATGAATCCACATTATTATGGAAAGCATCAGTTCGTGTGTTGCCTTCCCACTCCCCAGGTCCTCACATAATTTCAGTAAGCAGCTCCTTTGAGTTTTCCTGCCAGCTCATTACTACTTGTTTAACATTTATCAAGACAAAGTCTGTATCTGAAGAACACCCTCAAAAATTCCACCTATCTGAAAGAGACTGCTGGCTCTGACCTAAAAATTCACAAATACACACACTCAAAAAAGCTCCAGCTCTTCAAGGATCTAATTTCTGAGTACAGAGCTACATAATGTTACTATTTAGTTTCATTATATACTCTGTGGAAACTGGTAAGCAGACGTATATTTGTGACACAAAATCAATGATATTTAGGTTCTGTCTAGAATGGGATATTTTCCAGCAATGTAGAGGATGAATGGAGACATGAAGGTACAAAAGTGCTGCTAGCTATTTCAAATGTTTGTTCTGTATTGCTGAGATTAAATTTTCAACTGAAATAAGGTACTTACACTGCATACTTTTCAGGATAATCAGACAGATTATCCTGAGTCACACTTGCACACTAATTACTTATCTCCACAACTGACCCCCTTAACACTTTAAATTAATCAAGAGGCAAATACACCACATCAATTACTAAGCAGCAAACTCACCTGAGTAGTCTACAAAGTCATCTACTGCAGCAGTAGTGAAACATTATCTAGGTAAGTTACACTTGCACAGAAAAAAATCCTGTAATGTTTCAAAGCATTTTTCTTGGGTTACCACTTTGCATGCTCATCTTTTCCTCTAAATGAACTGAACTTTTACTCTCATATCTGCTCATTTCACATTCTTATAAAGAAGGGAAAAAACCCAGAAGTATGACTTGGGAGCCATGACTGGGCAGATATAAGGGTCATTAAAAAGAATTTTCTAGATACAGACAAGTAAATTATCGTCTGCCCTTGCCTGTGCAGCTGTTTTTGTACTTTGCTTCCTCAACCTACAAATTACCTTGCCTAATAGGAGAAAGAGAGTAAAGACTGATTTCTTAAGAAGAGAACACAAGCAGTGTTCCTAAAAGACCTCCCTGTTCTGACAGGCAAGTGAAACAGCGGGGAAGAAAAACATACCTGATCAACATACAGGGCAACCTCCTACACGAGGCTATTTTAACAGATTTCACCAGGTGAAACACTCATCAGGAATTTGTCTATTCCCACAGTATCTACTGGTATTTGTCTAGATACCATAAAGACAGGCTGATGCTACGTAAGAACAAACTCAGCTTACATTTTGTGTTGAATCAGTTGTACTTGTTTGAATACAACAGGACAAAAGCAATGTTTGACACCTTCATGCTCAAGAACCACAGCACTGTTGGATCAAGGGCTGGACTTGATGATCTTGGAGGTCTTTTCCAACCCAGCTGATTCTATCATTCTATGATAACTAAAACAGCTAAAGTACACTTCCAAAGGTTTTTTCATAGACAAACTTCCAAGAAAGAAAACTGTATTCTAGACGTAAATTTTCTCTAATGAAAACCAAAAGAATCTGATTTTACTCTTTTGTTTAGCTGGGAAGAATCAAAGAGTATTCCCTCTATACTGCTGGAGCTCTGAGTGCTCCAGGCAACAGTACATACAAAGAAAGAAACACTGCGACCTGGTGTAGCAGACCTTTTGATGTTTAAAAGGACTGTCATTCCAGAATTCATTTTTCATCACTTAACTACAGCACAATACAATTTTTTTTCTTCCATAATAATGTTATATTGTTTACTAGAAAATACTACTTTTTAAAATACCTTCATATGAACCTGAAGAGGAAGCAAAATAACATACTACGTCAAACTGAGGAAATCTGCTATGAAAATGACAGGTCAGAACTGAAAGAAGAAATTAATCCTTTTTTGTCTTAGTTGAGAACATCTCAGTCTTTTCATGGCAATAGGATGTTAAAATTATCTGTCCATATTTTATGTGAACACATATAAAACAGAAGTTTTTAAATTAAAACCTCATTTCCAACCATTGTGAATTTAGACAGTATGGAGAAAGTGAAAGTGGCAACAAAAACAACTCCTTAACACTAGGAGTCTGATTCCAAAACCAATGTGAGTTAGCATAAAAATACGAGAACTTGTGTACTGTTTGATGTTGCAGACACAATCACTGAAATTCCAGTCTTCAGTGAAAGATTTTTTTCATCTGCTAAATTAAAAGCATGTGGAAAGAACTATGAAACAACAGCTGTATTTGCTATTACTGCATAAAGTATTCTCCAAACTTTTATATTTTGGGAGTCAAGGCAGGGAAAAACTAACTCTTATCTCTGCATTTTGAAATCTGATCAGACTGCACTGCTAAATCAGTATTGCATACCTACCTCTATATGGGTTCATAAATTGCAGATAAGAGCAGGTTTTACTTCACAACAACAAGTTAACTCAAACTAGGGTGAAAACATCTAGCAGAAATACAAGGATGACATATATCCTTCAATGCTAACAATTCTAAAAATATACAAATGCAAAAACACGCTGGCTGTTGAAGTGCTTCATGAAAATACTCAAATCTCTGCACCACAATATTAAGTTATCCGTTTATGACTGCAACAAAGGAGCATGCATTTGATTTCCACCACTGAAAGGATCAGGGTAAAAAGAAATACTATATTCTGTGCTTTCTTCATTGCACTCTTTATCAGAAGCTTTCACTGTGCCATAGTCCACTTTTAATATACCATGTGAAAAAAAAAAGTAAAAATGAATACAAACTGATGAAAAATTGAAGTATTTTCTCACAAGCAGTGACTTTAAAGAAATACTGCCATCTTAAGCGGAAACAAAATTAATTTAGTAATGAAATTATTTTATTAAAGCTTAAATGTGACAATATTGTTTCTTTCAAATGTCTTTTCCTCAAAATTTTGACTTCAACCTTTTGAGACTTATTCCCTCCCTTTCATCCTCTCTTTTTCCTCACTGAGTAATTGAGGTTGACTTACCACACTCTTTAACTTCTCCTCTCCTTCCACCTTCTCCTTTTGTTTCTAGCAGGAATTGAAAAATAAGTAGACACTCACACTAAAAATGTGTGAGTAACATCTCACAGCTTCCCTTGATTTCAGTTTCTTAAATCTCCCTTTAAATTTTTTACAACTTCATTAGTTCTCATGGTTCTAAACTTGAACGTTCATATGCATGTTTAACAGGCAACAGTCATATTCTCATATAGTTCTCCCAGACAAAGGAAAAAAAAAGAAAATATTAAAATGAACAAAAGAAATCCACTCTCTTTCATCTCATGACTATTCATTAGATTCTTTAATTATTTTCAGATGTAGGATGAACAGAAGTTCCATGTAAATAATTTATGAAAAGGTAACCATATGCTATAAAAGTCATCTGCTGCATTCTGCAGCCTGTAGTATCCTTTCAGACTCAAAATGACACTAGCTAGTTATAATATAAACTAGAAGTTATTTTTAAATCCATACTGCTCCAAAAGTAAAATTTCAACAGTGCTACCTGATTTTACAGTAGGCAGATTCCAGAAGATACCTGTATTCACAGCTGACTATTCAACTTAGAACTTGACTCCTAACAAGGATGAAAAACCAATGAAAAATAGCAAGTGACATAACTCATGCAACAGTATTTTGAATGCATATCTGACACAGCCTGGGGGAATAAGGATTCTTCCTCTTTGGACACAAAGGATGAAATGGACCTTTATTGAAGGGAGGAGCTGACTTATAAAGGGTAGGGAAGGAAGATACTGGAAACATGGGTGGAGCTAGGGAGGAGTTAGGGAGGAGAATGTTAATGCAGACCATATAAGGAGAAAAAAGGGAGGTATTAACCAAATAAGGGATTACTAAATAATGAGTTACTGCAATGTGACACCTGTGAGCCAATCAGGGAGAAGGGCATAAACCAGGGTACAGAACACTGAGGATTTTTTATAAAAAGCGGGGAATAGGGTACAATAAAGGGTAAAAATACAATGAACATTGAACATGAACACAATTGCAGAGTCTCAACAGTCCCATTCATCATCTGAATGTAGAGAAGGTGCTGTCCTCGGCGGTCCCGCAGATCTCTTCACATATCTCTATTTCTTTTTTCCACTGCTCGTAATCAAACCTCTCCTGGTCTCCCACATATATCCCATTTTTAATTCCTATTTTTCACACCTAACTTTCTGCTAGAACAATCTTAAATAAATTAAAAAACAAAGCATAAATAGAGAGTAATTGAAGTAGGGGAGCTCACTTGATTTTCATACTAGCAGAAGTTGGTTTGTTTTTCCTCATCCAATCCCATGCTTTCCAGGATTCCCTGAGATAAAACAATTTAAAAAATTGTTTCTGAGGAAAAGCAGTATGAAACTGCAAGCAAGCACCTGTAAATGAATTTCCAAAATGAATGAGAACTTTTGAATGCCTATTTCTATCAATACTAGACATGAAATAAAACATGGTAACTTAAAGATGTAGACAAGGAAAAACAGTCTTAAAACACTGTCCATTCAAATGTGTTTTCCTACCATTTATGCGCTGGAGGAAAAGGGCAGGTCTGTTTTGCAGGAAATAGAACAGAAAATGAAGATTCTTTAAAGCCCTTTTTTTAAGAGGATCAGGTATAATGGTTCTACAGAGAAGCAGACCCACAATATGAGCAGCTGACTTCATCCTGCAGGTAGGGAATATGTATTTACTCCTCTACTATTAGTCGGCCTTGCTCCTGAATTCTCACCTGACCCACAGATTAAGGAAGGGTCAAACAGCATAATCTACTATAAACATCATGTTCCCTATAGCCCTCTTTGGACTTACCTGATGTGATTAGTTTGGTGTCTTCAGCAGAGTTTGCTATCTTAATCAAAACACCTGTCAGAATTTTTCAGTATTTAAACACATGGTGGAAATAAACAGTAGCTTCATGGAGTGTATCACCCTTGCAAGTCTAGCATCTCACTTTCCCCTAGCAGCAATGGAACCGTCTCTCATCAACAACCTACTGAGTAGGTCACAGTATGGACAAAACTTTTTTACGATGTGCACCATCTCCTTCCGCTCAAGCTGCTCCTTACAACTCCACTGCAGCACCTTCTTTCTTCCATCCACTAAAACAAAGCTTTACAGATCTTTTCTTACAATACCTTGCAACCCTTTGTATCCCTTTCTCCTGGTTTCTTCTGCTGCACAGGTATAGCGCAAGAAAACACTAACAGCAGCTGCATTTTTGCATTAATAAGGGAACCAAATGCTGTTTCTGGCATCTGTGCAATAGGTTTTCCATCTCTGAAACAATGAATACAGAAGCTGTTTGCCCTTTAAAGGGGAAATACTTAGAGGCAGTTTTTCACAAAAATACACCTCTAGTTTGGAAATAAGACAGCATTTTTTCAAAATCGAAAAGCTGTACATCTATAATAAATGCACCATCAATATCAACCAGTACAGCATGTATTGCAGCAATGCATCTGCTACATTTAGAGATTAATTGTCCATTTTCCTCTAATGAGTGTATAACAGCTCTCAGGATAACTACTGCAAACACTGACAATATAATCTGACAGTTTTGCCACCACTAGTGATCCTCTGCATCAGGACAGATCAGATTTTCTATATGACCCATAACACAGTGCTGTAAAGCAACATTGCCCAATAAATTGATTTTTTTCTCTATTCTTTCCTTTCTTCTTAGCAACCATGTCATGAAAATAAGCAGCAGCACAGCCTTCTAGGTCAGGCAACATAAAATCCAGAGTATTTTTTTTACCCCCTACTCCCTATACTAATCTCACACCAAAATCAACAATCTGCTAAATAAGCTTTTCTCTTATCCTCATTGAAGAGGATGATCTTGATGGATGTAGGTTTGGATTTTTTTTCCCTGTGGTCTCCTTTCCAGCAAGGCTTATACAGCGTTCTCAGAGTGAATTAGCCTCTGCCTCTGGAAGTGTGCATGACAATCTGAGATCTGCAGGAATCAATACGTACTAGCATCTATGCCTGACACAGCAGTATTTCATTACCCTCATATGCATCAATGCTGCCAGATCAGGCGTAGCAAAGAAATAACAGCCGTTGCTCTGATCAAGTGTTCCGACAAGCCCCTTCCTAAGTGACGTCAGCAGATTCGCAAGGCCAGAACCTAATCTCACAGGGCACTGCTATTTGATCCTTAAAGCACAACCATCTTCTTGAACTTGAGGAAATCTGCCTGTATTCCAATATAAAGCCATGATTTTTGAAAACCTTCCTCATCAAATATCCTTAAAGGGGGAATAAAATCCAGCTTCAACCTCTTAAAACCATACTGACTTTAGAACTTTAAAAAAAAAAAGCGTCACTACAGCAATGAAATAGTATACTGAACACAGTTAAGCAGTTAATCTCTTCTGCAGTAGAATCAGATTCCAATGGCTTTAGAAACCATTTCTACCTCACAAAAAAGGCTATGCTATTGGCTGTACAATATACTCATTAGCTATACGATAACTATGCTTAACTGGACTGAAAATGAAATTTCCAAACTAGACACTAGCTCCCAAGACGATGAATGAGATCATAAAGATGACCTACCTCTTCCTTCTAGGCTTAAATATTCTGCTCAATATTTAAGAAATCATGCATTTCAAACTAATGTAATGGGCAGAGGACAAGAGACATCATATTTCTTTACTTACTGTACTTTTTCCTGTCTAATCCAAGTGCAGCTATCATATCATGGTTTTGTAGAATCACCACTAAGAGTATGAAGGCTGAGTTATAAAGATCCAGAAGCTTTAGTCAACTTCAGGAGTGGCTACACAGGCAAATTACTGAAAAGGTAACGCACGGATTTACAGTACACCTGTAGGAATACCCAATATAGCTGGTTTTTTGCAGAGTTAAGTAGGAAAACTACTCGCCTTAAAATGGAGTTACCTACCTCACAGATTTTCAACAGGTAGAAAAAGCATTCCTGCCACGAATTCAAACAAAAATACTAATGAGCTGTAAAGGTACACTGTAATTTACAGCTTATTAATTTATTCAAACAAAGAAGCCCACAGATATTAGCAAGAGTCATCACACTACCTACCTCAGGTAGCGTTCTTTCAATAAACCAAAATCAGCAGCTTTCAACTATGTGAATAATATACTTTCCTTCCCATCTTTCTCACTGAGATCAAGTCCTTAACAAGATTTCCCTTCCTTAATTTTATGAGAAAACTAACTAGTAGATGGCAAGCAGAAAGGTACAAAGATATATGATAATTCACTGATGCAGTTCAAAGGTGTTACATAAAACACAGGTTTCACCACTGAAGGCTGATCCCTTTTCCAGTGTACATATCGAGTAAAATGAACTTTTTAAGGAAAAAAAATGTGTTAGTGTCCTCAGACATATTATGTCTGAAGTATTCATAAATCTCCTTCACTGGACAAACTTTTTTGCAAAGAGTTTATAAACTTTGCATAATCTCATCACTGCTGACACATTCATCCAAACTCCTTATTACTGAAATTATCCTCCTGTCCCTCATTATACAAGAATAATCAGGCTTATATGCTACTGGAAATAAAGTGTTTAAATGGCAGTAATGTCTGTATACCTTTGTCTTAATTTAACAAAAGCATTTTACTACAAAGAAAAATACAATCATGTGAAGGTACAAAAGTTAAGAAAAATTTATTAGTGTTAATTAATGCCTGAAGGTAGAATTATGCTTCTTTCAATTGGACCCATTAAAGGGGCTTTAATATAGATTTGCACAGCAAGCTGAAGATTTTCAACTGCAGATAATGAGGCAAGCTAGTACTATTTTAACCCCTCTAGAGTATAATCAGTTGATAAGGTTTTGAAACATTACAAGGTCTAGGACAAAAAGATTAGCTTTAGTTCCTCCAGATCTAAATTGAAACCTAATTAATTAACAATGTTATAGAAAAGGTTTACTGCTATTTTTACACATCTTTAATTTTGTCTTCTAAGGAAAACAGGTTAAGATATTTTAATTTATCTATTGCATGAATGGCAGAAGACTGTTCTCTGTTTCCACATTATCCACTAAACTAATTGTTTGATTTTAAAAATGTAATACATTCGTCCAAAACCTCACCTTACTTTTTAAGAAAAAAATTACACCAGTGATCTGTTTGAGACATACACAATTATTATAAATTAAATACAAGTGAAAAATGTTTCCAAAGAAAAGGGAGCATGAAACAAGATTTCTGTAGCAAGATATCTATCAGCCTTTAGAAGATGAATAATTAAAATTCTAAGAGACTGTTTTATGCACTTAAATGTAGCAATTAGAAATTCTTTTCCTTGAAACACATGCAGAAGTGATGTATATACGTCAGAGATACATAACTACTGAGAAAAGAGTTTTGAGCCACTGCATGAAACAAAAGTTATAGTAAAAAAATCATTATAGAAATCCAGATACTAATCTCAAATGAGTAAGATTTTACCCACACAGCATTTAGAATAAATATATCTATATACTAGATGAGGCCCAGTTGTGACTATCAGGATAAAAAGTTACAAATCAACCAATTAAAAAGACAAAAATTAAAAAAAAAAAGGAGCAAAGAGAAAAGTACAATGGAAAACTTCAATACAATATATTTTGTACTGAATTTATGTGCAATAATACACAAAAATAACCTTAAGTGCTTTAATAAATACTACATTTGTTTGAAACTTTGAATGGTACATATTTAAATGTCCCACATTAATTCATATTTAAAATGTTTAACACAATATGAAGCTATACAATAAACTCATGTCAAGAAAAAAGTCTTATTCTATTTTATTTATATAAAATAAAAGATTATACCTCTGTAATTTAGGAAAGGTACATGACTGAAGGTGTTCTAAGTACACAGAAGTTCAATGCATGTACTGTATTCCAAAGATATTGCACAGTAGAAGTTTAGAAAAACTATGATTTACACTGATTTTTTACCCCTCAGGGCACAGATACCATTCTCATGAATATCTGAGCACTTTTCTTCCTTGTTAGGTTGTACAAACATGATTAAAGACCATACTACTTCTCCATCACAAGTTTCCAAATTAATTTAGCTGATTTTCAGTAATATCCATTAAAATGGAAACTGTTCTAACACTTGAAATATCTCATCACAAATTAAGCTCATTCAGCTTTCAGCAGAACTAACTAGTTGGATCTCACCTAGGCTGTGAAGAATATGCTCTTCTACTTACAGCAATTTTAAAAGTTTTCTTAAGCAGGATAAAGTTTAAGCAGAACACAAGAGAAGGAATACAATCTCATGTTCTCCTTGTAGGGTTTTCTTGTTGTTTCTGGCAGCAATATCAGCTTACATTCATGCTGAATTATGAGATAGGTCATTTATTTTCCTTTTCCCTTATTCAACACTGATTCATACAATCAGCTGTTTGGTGGCCACTCAGAAACTCCTAGTAAATAAATACCCTACCACAAATTATACTGTTGCAACTGAATCTCTGCATGATGCCAACCCAGCTGATTCTATGATTCTATGAAGGGGAAGAGAAAAACAACAGAAGACAGGACTGGGTAATCCCACCTTCCTAGACGAAACCAATACACAGCAATACACTTAAAAAATACACAGACTGCAATACACAGCCTTGAAGTCTTGCTGTCTGTACGTTACAGAAAAGAATATTCATTGTCATTATCATCACAATACACATTTTCACAAGTAGACTATTTGCATATTAATTACAAAAATAGCATCTTTTCCTCCTTAGATAAACAAAGAAGAAAAAAATCCAGTAAAACAAAACAAATGAACAATATATTTTCTATGCCACCTCCAGTCTTTTACTACCAAATCAACAGAACTCAGAAAACGATCCTTTGTTTCAGTCCTGTAGCATCCCAGCCAGTGGATAAGCAAGAAGGTCAGAATGACATCACCTCTATACACAGCTTTTATTTACAGCACTGGCACTAACTGGTGCCCTTCACAACCCACCTCCCAAGTCAATGACACTTCAAGAGAAGCTAACTGAAAGGGCTGCATTACAGTTGTGACAATCACCAAAACAACAGCTTCTGTTCTCCTCATCTGTTAGGACTGCTGAATCATAGAATATCCTGAGTTGGAAGGGACTCACAATGATCACCAAGGCCAACTCCTGGCCCTGCAGAGGACCATCCCCAAGAATCACATCATGTGCCCTAGAGTATCATCCAAATACTTCTTGAGCCCATCAGGCTTTGTGCTGTGACCACTTCTCTGGGGAGCCTGTTCCAGTGCCCAACCATCCTCTGGGTGAAGAACCTTTTCCTAATACACAAACTAAGCTCCTCTTGACACAACTTCAGGTCATTCCCTCGGGTCCTATTGCTGGTCACCACAGAAGAGATCAGTGCCTGCCCCTCTGCTTCCCCTCGTGAGGAAGTTGTAGACCACAACGAGGTCTCCCTTCCCTCTTCTCTCCTCCAGGCTGAACAGACTAAGTGACCTCAGCTGCTTCGCATACGGCTTCCCCACAAGGCCCTTCACCATCTTTGTTGCCCTCCTTTGGACACTCCCTAACAGCTCAACATCTTTCTTATATTGTGGTGCCCCAAACTGCACACAGTATTCAAGGTGAGGCCACCCCAGTGCAGAGCAGAGCGGGACAATCCCCTCCCTCAACCAGCTGGCGATGCTTTGCCTGATGGCCCCCAGGACATGGTTGGCCCTCCTAGCTGCCAGGGCACTGCTGACTCATATTCAACTTGCTGTTGATCAGGACCCCTGGATTTTCTGTGTGGCTGCTCTCTAGCCTCTCATTCCCCTGTTTTTATGTATATCCAGGGTTTCTCCCATCCTGCTGACAAAACTCTTCTTTCCTGGCTGCCACTTTATGAAGGTTCCAGTTATATTTTCCAGCCTCTCTCCACTTCCATGTGGATGATGTAAATGCATCACAACATCAATTTCAGATTTCTGATGAATTACAGTTTCAGCTTCTGAAATTGATCTGAAACCACAGAGTGCAATCTCATGCAGATGCACACTTCAGGTTCAGAAGCTGCCACAGCAGTCAACCCTTCTTAAAAGCACATTACTGCACACATATTCCTATAAACAAGTATTTTGTCTTTCAGATAGGGACAGGGTAGAAATACAGGAATCATACGTTACTGGTTTATCAAAATGATGTGTGTGCATGCACCAAACACATTACACATCACACCTATAGCCATAAGGATGTGACAACACACTGAAACTTCGACCACTGCTATAATACAAAATAAAAGTTTATTTAATAATAAACAATATTTTATATTAAATTCTCATATTTATATATTTACATATTTCATATATCTACATATTATATGCAATATAATACATTCTATTATATCTAATACATTCTATCTTGGATATAAATATAAAAATACAGAGTATATAATATAGATTATAGAGGGCATACAGATAATATACTATACATTATTTAGTACATAAAAAAAAGAATTATATAATAATATATAATGTATCTACTGTATATCATCGTATTTATAATGTATATATGTTTTCTATATATTCATTCAAATATGAATTTATTTAATAATAAAAGGAGAAACACTACCACTCTTGTCAGGCAGAAGGTGCATCAGGTTTATTTTTTTGTACTTGTTAGGAAGGCAAATCTTTCCAAAGCATGGGCACATTACAACCCTAAATATAGTCAGAGCTCTTCTGGACTGAAATCCAAGTGTAGGTTAGCCCACTAGGCAAAATGAGAGAACGACCAATTAAAATTTGCAGAAAAAGTTTCATCTAAAATCATAGAAACGTTTAGGTAAAAGATCAATTGTTTGAAGAACTCAGAAGAATTTAATTAATACTTTATCAGAAGGTTATAATCTCTGAATCACCTGCAACTTTCTCCTTAAGATACAACAGTAAACTATTCTCTCATTTTAGGAAATATAAATGTCATGTCAATATCAAGTTTTTTTAACTGCTCTGTTTAAACATAATACAAACCTGTTCTAGTGTTTCTATTTTGCTGTCTTTGGCTTCTAAAAGCTCTAAAACTCTTCTGTCCTTGACTCCAGCTTTCTGTTTTTCTCTGGAAACAAACAAAAAAACCCAGACACTTTAATAGTCATAATTTGCAGTTAATCATTTGAATTTTTCATGTCCTGATAATGAATGTCATTTTAAAGCACGGAAAATTAAATTATCTGAAGCTGACAGGCTTTGCAGAATTAATCAGGGAGCATATGGCAAGTGACAGCAAATTACATCTGAAAACAGCTAACACAACGTTGTTCAAAAAGAAATAGAAGCAAGGGGTCTTAAAATACATTTTTAAGTAGTTGACATTATCTGTCTCATTCTTTCCCAAAAGCAGAAAGTGTACAATGGACACAGAATGAACAAAATGCTTTCTTCTCTTCTTGGCAATGTAGAGTCACAAAACTGCTTGCATTTGTTAAATCCTTCTCTCAGTTAAAAGGCATTTCTCTGAAACAACACTTTTGAACATCATCGATCATTACAATCTTTCACATGGACAGAATCCATAACTTTCACACAGACAAAAAAAGAAAGACAGTACAGAAGCTCGGGTAACAGGGATGAGCAGAGCCACTCTTACGTGGTTATTAAGTGCAGAGCTATTATCATCTCTGGAACACTTTGTAGGATGTCAGCTGATAAGTCATTAACACTTTAGTTACAAACTATCTCATCTCATGGTTATCCTCTTTCTTAATTGAGTTTTAAACATTGATGCCCTTACTGGCTTCTGTTTTAGGTAGAAAGAAAATAAATGTTGCAGCAGTAAGGATATTCAAAGATTCCTCGGCATAAGCCAAAGTTCTTATCATATACCTGCAACTAAAGGTCTGAGAAACATACATTCCCTACAAATGGTCAAATAATTCAGGTAATTCCAGCACCAAGGTGACAGAAGCAGAAACTCATCCAGATTATTCGTCTTCTCACAGTACGCGTAAACTTCCATCTACATAAGCCAGAAAATCCTACTTGTGCAACTTTTGCTCTTCTAAAATGGTAATGTTTCAGAGCTGTAAGGGAATGAAACAGTGGTACATGAGTGTGTAAATGTGATCTAAGGTGGATGAAAATATCCAGCTGTACACAAAAGGTTTAATAGCTGAAGCATTTTATAACAGTGACCAATAAGGATAGTAGAAATATGGAGAACTATTTTTCTCCATTGTTACTACTGTGTAGTCTACTGTTAGCAGTGATTTTAAAGACTAAACTGCACTGTCATCACAGACCACCCAATAACATGGCTTTTTTTCATAAAGTTTTATGACTGCTAAAATATCTAGTCTGATCTTGAGTAAATAAAGAACTAAACAAAAATGGTATGGAATTTCAAGTGAAGTTTTTGGAAACTGAGGTCTCAAGGCAAGGACTTCAAGCAGCACTCTCCTATTACAAATCTAAGACAACTGATGTGTTGTAGGACTTGAAGAAAACTAAGAAAAACCCACCTTAAAAGATATGCATTTAAGCTACATTTAGCTAGGAGAAATAAAAATATACAGGAAATAGTCTTAAGCAGTTGTATATAAAAAAAATCTTCATAAAGAAAACAATTCAGGTGCTGTAATGAGCAAAGAAAAGTCAAACCATGAATATTCAACAAATATTCCAAAAGACATTTAATGTCTGAAATGTATTTACCATTTTAACTGAGGCAGAATCTTAACAGTGTCATATCCGATTTTGAGAGATACAAAGAAAGCTTTAACTGAATATGGACTTAACTCTCCATTTGTTACTGAAATGTTAGACTCTCTTTTTGCTGCCTATACATTTACCCCAAATGACATTAGAGTAGTTACCCAAGCAATTCTAAATACAATGCAATATATGCTTTTCAAACATGAATGGAAAAGTTTAATCCGACAATCTGCACAAGAGTCCCTTAATAGCCGTCGAGTACCAGTACAAGAATCAATCAACCATTTATATGGAGAGGGTCCATATTCCAGGACACAAGCAAAAGTCCCTCTGGATTATTCAGATAAAACCAAAAGTCTGGCACTTAGAGCTATAAAGACAGTTGCAGAAGCAACGACGACAACACTGTTGTTTGCTCACATACAACAAGGCCTTAAAGAGCCTTTTTATGATTTTGCCAACCGTTTGTGAGATGCAATTACCCATCAAATAAAACATCCAGAAGCTCAGGATGCATTGTTTTTAAAACTGGCAATTGAACAGGCTAATTCAGACTGTCAACCAGTCCTGCAAGCACTCTCAAACCCCATGCCTACGTCTATGATACAGGCCTGCAAAGAGATCAGTTCTAATCAACATAAAGGAAAAATTATTGCAGATGCCTTAGTAGAAGCAGAACAAGCAAGAACAAAAGTAATAACAGATGTTATAATAGAAGCAGACAGAACAAAAATATAAATGTGTTAAATGTAATTGATTTGGACATTTTTCACATGAATGTCCAGAAGTGGGGAAACCCCCTACTCCATCAAAAAGCCCATGTCCCAGATGCCAAAAAGGGTATCACTGGCATTGGTTTTGCCCTTCAACGCAACATAAGGATGGGAGTCCCCTACAAAACAGAAAACAATGACACTGCCAGTGCTGCAAACAGGGAAACGGGAGAGAGTGCAAGGGACCATGCGATGACCCCAAGAGCCCCAAAATTCCACCATGACAAACAACAAACTCCCACTCCAATGGCAGAAGAGACAGACTAAAAACTTATGAAGTAATTTTGTTTCCTGCAAGAAATTATGTCATTGAAACATTAGATCCACAGGAAATGTCAGTTATTCCTGACAAAAACCTTGCAGGAAATGATAACTTTTTATTATCCTCGCATTTAGAATGTAAAGAAAAAGGAATTACAATCAATCCTGAAATTGTTCCTAATGGGAATTTAAGTGACTTAAAAGTAACTGTGCAACTTTCTTCTTCCTCAATAGAGCTCTTTACTGACACTCCTCTCACATGTTTGTGACCATTGCAACATTTTGAAGATTGTATGTCCATCTGTGAATTGGACACAAGTATCAAAAACCAAACCAATGTTAACACGTCGAATCTTCTCTCATTTAGCAGGACAACAAGTAACAGTGAGTGGCTTGATTGATACAGGAGCTGACATGACAATTATAGCAGCTAAAGACTGGCCTCGAAATTGGACCACTGCGAAAACATACACAGAGGTAACAGGTGTTGGTGGCACCCAAACACCCACGAAAATTCACGACATCATACGAATCACCAATTCAGACAACCGAACTGCCCCTATAAAACCTCTTATCCTAAAAGTGCCACTCACCCTATGGGGACGAGATGTCCTAGACCAATGGGGAGTTTTCTGTCTACAAATTTATCTTAGTGGCCACTGGCATCCAACAACCAATCCACCTAGACTGGGTGTCCACCTGCCCAATCTGGGTAGACCAGTGGCCTGTCAGAGGGGAAAGATTAGCCGCATTAGAAGATCTAGTAGAAGAACAAAAATTGGGCCACATAGTTCCATCTAAAAGTCCATGGAACTCTCCCATTTTTTGTATCAAGAAAAACTCAGGAAAATGGAAATTACTCCAGGACCTTAGAGAAATTAATAAAGCAATTAAACCAATGGGAGCCTTATAACCTGGAATGCCAGCACCTTCCATGATCCCCAAAAACTGGCCCATTACAGTCATTGACATCCAAGACTGCTTCTTTAGCATCTCCTTACATCCCCTAGGTCAAGAGAAATTCGCTTTTTCAATTCCAACAGAAAATCTCACTGAACCGCTCCATCAATATCAGTGGACAGTTCTTCCTCAGGGGATGCGAAACAGTCCAACCATTTGTCAAAGCTTTATTGCCAATATTTTATCTTCAGTCAGGTCTAAATTTCCATATGCCATCTGTCCCCATTATACAGATTACATTCTTTTGTCAACCTCATTGTCTACAAGCCTTCACGAAGTTACAACAGCAGTCCTTATCATCCTTTCAGAGAATAAACTTACTGTTTCACCAGGAAAAATACAAGTGTCTGCCCCCTGGAAATATCTGGGGTGGTAAATTACAAACTTGACTATAAAACCTCAGAAAATAACCATTCCTGTACAGGTGTCAACTCTCAACGACCTGCAAACAATCCTAAGGACTCTCAACTGGCTGCGTCCCGTAGTAGGCCTAGTTACAGACGATTTACATCCCCTATTTGAATTATTAAAGGGGAACTCTGAATTAACATCTCCCCGAACACTGACGCCAGAGGCCAGAGTCCGTAGAACTTGTTACTAACAAAATCAATTCCTTGCAGGTACATTGAAGACTAGAAAAGGAAGATGCAGTGCTCATTGTGTTGAGGGGACCTACTCAACCTTTCACACTATTGGGCCAATTCTATTCCAGCAACAGTAAGATGTGTTTGTGGATCTTCCTTCCTCACCAGTTTCCAAAAACTTTGATTTCCTTACAGTTCAGCCAAATTATGTTTAAAGGGCTGGACCACATGCTGAGAACTCTCAGGTTCAGACCCAAAAGAGACTTCCCAGCTCCTGGAGCAAATGTTGATAATGAGCCTAGATTTCCAAGTCTCCCTTTCAGATTTTGTGGGCCAAATGAAAGTACATTTACCATTGTGCAAATTTGTGCAAAACATAAATAAAATTCCGTTAGAATACAGTTCAAATTGGACTCCAAATCCTATCCCTAACATACGGACTGTATTTACAGATAGCTCGGGGACTACTGGAAATGCGGTGATAATTGAGAAAGAACATATGGAGTGGAAACAGGACATACATTCCAGGCTCACTACAACTGGTCAAATTATCAGAAGTTGTTTGAGCTCTATCCTTATTCCCAGATAAACCTAACATTATTTCTGATTCAGCATATGTCTCTGGCATTGTCCAACGCTGTGAAAATTCTTATTTGAAAGATATTAAAAATGAAGTTATTCTATTTATTCCAAAAATTACTTTATGTTGTTGATCACAGATCTCTTTTTTTTATCACTCATATCTGCTCCCACACCACTCTTCCAGGTCCAATAGCAGAGGGGAATCACCAAGACGACCTTTTAGCAGGGTCGGCAGTCATCCCACA